GGTTGGCCCGAGGGGTTTGGTCTCGGGCGGAGCGCTCAGACCACATAAATGTACTGGAGCTTCGGGCCGTCCACCTTGCTCTCCAGGAGTTTTTGCCTCACCTGCTGGGGAAACATGTCCTCATTCGTTCGGACAACACCTCGGTCGTGTATCACATCAACCATCAAGGGGGTGTCCGATCGGCTCGGCTCCTCGAGGTGTCTCAGGCTCTGCTGGTTTGGGCTGCGCCTCGCCTGGCTACACTGCGTGCAGCGTATCTGCCAGGGGACTGCAATCGCGTGGCGGACTCCCTGTCTCGCGGGAGGCCTGCCCCGGGGGAATGGTGTCTCCACCCCGGTGTGGTCCAGAGGGTGTGGGGCCTCTTTGGTCGGGCACAGGTGGACCTGTTCGCTTCGGTGGCCTCCACTCATTGCCCTCAGTTTTTTTCCCTGGACGGGGCTCCGGGCTCTCTCGGCCAGGATGCCCTGGCGCACAGTTGGCCTCAGGCCCTCCTGTACGCCTTCCCCCCTTTTCCTCTGATCTGGCCAACCCTCCAGAGGGTCCTTCGGGCGGGGCACAGTTTATTACTGGTGGCTCCGTTTTGGCCTGCACGGCCCTGGTTTCCACTGCTACTCAGACTTTGTTGGGCTCCCCCCTGGCCTCTCCCTCCCAGGCGGGATCTGCTCTCACAGCTGGACGGTCAGGTGTGGCATCCCTGTCCTCACCGCCTCAAGTTGTGGGTATGGCCGTTGGCTGGCCCGAGCTGCGGGCACTCGATGTCACTGGCCCTGTCAGGCGTACACTCCTGAATGCCAGGGCGGCCTCTACTCGGCGGCTGTATGAGAACAGGTGGAAGTTGTTCTCCCGCTGGTGTTCTTCCCGCGGTCGGGATCCCGTGTCGTGCCCGGTGGCGGTTGTCCTGGAATTCCTTCAGTCTCTCCTGGATGAAGGTCGGGCCCCATCTACTCTGAGGGTATATGTTGCTGCTATTTCATGTTATCATGGCCTGGTTGATAACTGTACTGTGGGGGGCCATAACCTGGTGTCTCTCTTTTTACGCGGAGCTCGTAGGCTGCACCCTCGCGTGCCCGCGCGGTCTCCGGTTTGGGACCTGGCCTTGGTGTTGGAGTCTCTCTGCCGCCCTCCGTATGAGCCATTGGCCCGAACGGACCTCAAGTGGCTCTCCTATAAGACTGCTTTCCTGTTGGCTGTGGTCTCTGCAAAAAGGGTCGGTGAGTTGCATGCACTTTCTGTCAGTCCCTCATGCCTACACTGGGATCCTGAGAGGGCTGGCGTGGTCTTGTGGCCTAATCCCACTTTCCTCCCTAAGGTGCTTTCCCGTGACTATTGTAACCGGCCTTTGAGGTTGGCGCGGTTTGTGTCCCCCCTGGATGGGGGTGAGGACAGACTGCACCTGCTGTGTCCTGTGAGGGCATTGGAGGCCTACGTTGCTGCGACGGCAGGTGTGAGGCGCTCAGACCAGCTCTTTGTTGCTTATGGTGGTGCTAGACTGGGAAGTCCGCTTTCGAAGCAACGCCTTTCCCACTGGGTGGTTGACGTTATCAGTCAGGCGTATATTTCGGCCGGCCGCGACCCGCCAGCCACGGTGAGGGCCCATTCTACCAGGGGTGTCTCTACCTCCTGGGCCGCTATGCGCGGGGTGCCGTTGGGAACTATTTGTGCTGCTGCGTCTTGGGCTACACCAAGCACGTTCACCAGATTCTATAACATCAATGTGGCCACTCCGGCTCCTCTTGGCGTGGTCCTTCAGGAATCCTCTGGCTCTCCTCCGTGAGGTGTGTGGTCAAGTTCCTTCGTGACATAGCTGGTATAAGGTCATTCAGTGCTATGCACCGCCCTCTGGCGGTCTGAAGGGATGAAATAGAACGAGGGTTACGTATGTAACCACGGTTCTATGAATCCCGGATGACCGCCAGAGGCGCTCTGTCACTCAGGGTCCTTGCATCCGCGAGAAGATTCTGCAGGAACAGAGTGCTGGATGACGCTGGACTTTATTACCTCCGGTGTGTCACCCAGGGGGTCACAGGTGTGACTCATTTGGTATTATTACTCGAACTGCGCATGCGCGAAGGGAACATTCAGTGCTATGCACCGCCCTCTGGCGGTCATCCGGGATTCATAGAACCGTGGTTACATACGTAACCCTCGTTTTACTTAATCGGTTATTTTGAAATGCTATTCAGTTGTCTGGTTGAGGCTGATGAGCTCTTTTACATTCTTATCTTGAATGTAAATTAAGCTGGAGTACATAACTTTGTGAGTGTGTTCACAGTAAAGTGACAATTGAAGTATCTGGACTTTAAAAGGTTATAACTTAAAAACTAAAATTACTTTCATAGATTGGAAAAAAAGATTTCAAACACAGACACATTGAAGAGATAGTGTGGAAAAAATCAAAAGGAAAGATTGACATAAAAGTGTTTAGCAACATTTTAAACGACCAAATCAGCCTCTGATTGGACCATTCTACTGTGACTCCAGTTACATAGAAAATAAAATGTCCTCAGTCTGAAAAAGCAGAAGATGAAATCCCACAAGATTTACATGGTTACCACAACAGGAGGAAATCACTTGATATAAAAAGGAATCGTAAAAAAATAAAATATAATTAATTAAATGACCCCTGAAAAATGTATAACGGACGTGATGAGGACGGTCCTCTTTTCTCTAAAAATTAAACTTGAGAAGAAAAAAAATCTGGTCTATTTTCACATTTAATTGGTTGACAATATGAAAGTATCACTTTGCATCTACTTTGTGTAAAAAAGTAGAATCTCTGAATCAAATGTGGACATCTGAAAATACCTATCAAACTTGCACAAAGCTCATTCCGTCAAATCATCACGTCCGTTAGATAAAATAAACAGGGCCGCTATAGGAAACTTGTCTAATGTATAAAACAGTTATGTTCTAGCAACTTCTAATGGACAGAGGAGGTGTTTGGAAACATGAAAAACATAAAATATCTTCTGATTATTAAAATCTAATTTTTGGCCTTTTGTCACACTTTTGTGCCCTTTAGTGTGATCAAGCCCATGTCACAAGTTTTCTTCTATCACTACATTTTATTTTGGATTTTCTCTCATCTTACATCAGTTTTTCAGTGAATCACCAGCCCGCTCTCAGCCAATTATCTGTATAGCAGATAACACATTCTCTAATAAGACATAGACAGCATGGTGTGGTCTGATTTTTACAAAAACAAGACTTCAAACTAAATGTATTAATAAAACCAAACCAGCTTTAAATACAGGTAACATTAGGACATATTCCTTAATTTGATCCAGGTGTTTGTCCATGAGGATGATGGAGTGTATGGCCATTCTGTGGAACAATCCAGACTATATGATAAAGCTATGTCCTCTCTATGATAACAAGCAGAGTTACAATAGCTCTGGGACACCTATGATCTAGGGCAGGGATGTCAAAGTCAAATACATCAGAGGCCAAAAAAAACATTTTTCCACAAGCCGAGGGCCGGACTGGTTCAAAGTTTATTAATAATAATAATAATGCATCGGTTTTATATAGCGCTTTTCTGGACACTCAAAGACGCTTCACATGTGTCATTATTCATTCACTCCAAACACGGTGGTGATAAACTACTGCTGTAGCCACAGCTGCCCTGGGGCACACTGACAGAAGCGAGGCAACCAGTATGCGCCATCGGCCCCTCCGACCACCACCAACCATTCATACACACACCAGACTCATTCTAGGCAATGGGGGTGAAGTGTCTTGCCTAAGGACACAACGGCAGTTTGGCACTTTACAGCCGCAGCCGCCCCACTGTGGCTGATGTTCCCAGAGGTTAAGTGTCTTGCCAAGGACACAACGACAGCAGACAGTGGGAGTCGATGGTGAAAGTCTTGAGCGGGGCTTGAACCCACGACCTTCTGGCTCAAAGGCCAAAGCTCTACCAACTGAGCTACTGCCGCCCGCATTAAGACATATTAAAGTGATTGCATTTAACCTGATGAACCAAGACCTAACACAGTGTATAGTATTCTATAATGATTCAAGGAATAATCCAATATTTTTGTATGGCTCTGTCAGTCATTTCAAGTGAAAACATGTTTCAACAGCTCACAGACTGAAAAAAAAGCTTCCTTCAAAGAGAAAACACACGTCCTGAAGATTTAATGAATCATCCAATATTTCCCTATGGTTTTGTGCGGGCCAGTTCTAATATTAATCAAATATCATCCCGGGGACCCAGATAATTCATTTGCGGGCTGGAACTGTCCCCCGGGCCTTGACTTTGACACCCAACAACCTACCAAACAATAAAATAAAATAAAAAATAAAGATTGAGATTAATTTTATTTGCCATTTGCTGTAAAACCATATGGGAATACATTTGCAGAAGTCCCCAGTGTGCACAAAACAAGTACATTAATAAGTCAAAAAAATTGTTTCTCAAAAGTTTCAGAAAAGGCTTTGCTTCTACTCATCAAGGGACAAACTGGCAGTGGCTGAGTGGATTACCAGCATACAAATACTCTGCTGTGAGACAGGTGGGCTCTCACAGCAGGCACCTGCGATGGGGGAGGAGACTCACAGACACACAAGGGGAGGGGTGTGGGAGAGAGGAGGAAGGAGGAGAAGCCCCAAAACTGCCCTCATGACATAAACAATTTTTTAACAGTCTCTTAAAATAACCAAAATAATAAAAGAAAAATGTGCACAAAAATGTAAGGAAAGTTGTTTCTGATCATGTGATTTTCTAGTCTGCTTTTTGAGAATCACCAAAATTGTTAAGTCCATTGAGATGATTGCGGTTATTTTGGCTATATTTATATTTATTTTATTCACAGCATTTTGATCCAGGTCTGATTTTTCCTGCTTTTGCAATTCTTCCAGTTTATACACAAACACAGATTTATTGTTAGAAATTTTTTTTTAAGACAATGTTACGACACTTTATCCCTGCATGTTTGCTTCGGCACTTGCATTATTATCATTATTATTTTATTTTTTTACACTTGCTTTTTGTTTAGGCTTTTCCAGATGCCACCCACGACCCACTGGCCTCCCACTCGTACCCTTCCCTCACCTCGTCCCATCCCACCCCCCTCACTGCACAAGTGGTACGTCTCCATCGCTTCCCAAACTCTCTGCTGCTGATATTATTCCTCCTGATCTCTGTGTGAGCGAGAAGCCATGGGTGTCGCCATTATTATTATGACTCCAACTATCACCACCATCATCCCCATCTCTTACTCATTCAAATGTGCCAACAAATGATATGCGTCTACCAGGGGACTGTCTATGATTAAGTATGGGCATCAGGGGGGTAAATTCTGTTGTCACATTCACAAGCCATAATGCAAATTCAAGTTGTCAATAAAAAGTGGAAGAAGATGTGATCCCCGCTGCTGGGTCCAATCAGAGCGCCTGTCAGTCTAGCACGGGGGGCACCATCAGGGAAATTGTATGTGTGTACAAGAGTGCATGTTCAGTTGTTTTTTTTTTGTTTTTTTTGTAAAATAACTGTTTTTACTTTGAAAAGACCACAGTGGCAAATCCTTTGTGAATTAGATTGTGTTCATGTGACATTATGGACTGTCAAATTAACGTAGTTACAGTTACATTAATCATGAATTATGAATGTAACTAGTTGCTCCCAAAACAGTTTGTTTCCGTCACTAGTTTTTACATGCATGTATTTTGCCTTTTGTCACATCATTAGATCAGATCTTTCAGACAGTAAACTGAAATAAGAAAACTACCCTTATGTAGTCAATTAGTTCTCAGCCCAAAGCACCAACTTGTGACCGGGCTCTTTTATTACGAGTATTCAAAATATATTTTTTTTCTTTGGAAAGACTTTTCTCTTGGGGCAACCAAAATGAATCCTGTTATTTATGAGGGAAAGAGTTAGACAGCCAAGCTTTATGTTTTGTTCATGGCATGTGATCTTTACGTTATGAAGGTTCTTCCCTCTGCAGCAGTGGCCCTAGCTTAAAATAATGTCCTAACTCTGCACAAGAGGGACTCTGTCTCTCATCTGGACTATCCTGGGAATGCAGTATTCCCCCAGTCTGCAGTGAGGATGGATGGAGTTGTATAGCATTAAGTGGGCAACAGTACTTGAGTATGTGGATGTGAGCGCATGGGTGAGTGGTTCTAGTTCATCTTCAATAAAGCACATTGGATGCCTTAAACAGGAATAGAAAGCTATAAAAGATCAGTTAAAGCTATATATAATCACTTCATTTAACTTGTGCACTAAATCGAGTTTTCAACTTTTCTGTTACAATGCTCTTACAAGTCATTGCAACTCCTTCTGTTTTGATGTTCACCAAACAATGATGAAACAATCTGCCAACATGCCTCTTCAATTCTTTTATTTCTTCATAATGTTGTGATTTTGTCAATAAGTGAACATTTTAATAGGGTGCTAAAGCTACGTTGGTGCTGCTGTTACCGTGTGTGCACTGTCGTTTAGTTCCCTCCTTTCATCAGCAGCCATCTCTTTGCCGCCTCCTCCCACAACCTTATTTCACTTTCTACCAACTCTCCCTTCTGCACAGTGCTCCCCCGTCTCTGCCAATGTGTGCGCCTCTGTTATCCTACCCAGACCGTTTTATCTGCTGTAGTCTTTCTTCCTCCCAATTTGCTTTTTTGTTCTACACCAACTCCAGCTACAGCCTTGTTATGTTTTCCTGCCTTAGATCCCCCCTTTAGAACATCTGAGCGAGATCAGGGGAAAATTGGCCTCCGAAAACCTGCAGTTTAAAGTCTATCTCTCTCTCGGCTGCAACATTGTGAAAGATCCTGGCTGGGTTCCTCCCCGATCCCTTCAGAAACTGGCTGTTAGCTGCGGCGCATGTCTTTTAGGATGCTTTGATGCGTCCATCCATAGTGAAAGCTACAACAACTGGCCTGACCTTCCAAATCACATATTGTATCTTCTCTGGACTTTTCAAATGTCTTGTTGTGACTCACTAAAATCCAACACTTCATGTCAGCTTCGGATTTCCTTCGGTCACTTTCTCACAAAGTGGCATGCAACCAAACCTTTGAAAACACAATTGTCTCTGGAAGTGTCCCATGGCTTAAGGCCAAATATGAAGAATACTTTGAGTACATTTTCTGTGAGTTCTCTGTTTTGTGTAATGATATAAATTAAAGAATATAAAATGAATATATAATAACATTAGTTTGATAATACAGTATGTTTGTTGGTGTAGCCTAACTTGTTATTTTAATTACTTAAGTGGCTCTTGGACGTACACTTACTACAGATAAAAAGCTGAAATAACTTGCTGTGTGTTAGTGAATGTGGAACATCACGTGTTGTGTTGAAGAACATGGGTGATGGCAGGTCTGTCAGGGCGGAGGAGGTGGAAATCTGTTTGGGATAAAGGTGATGCTTTTTCTGCTTGGCAGATTGATGCTGGGGAAATTTTGGAAAACAGAGAGAACACAAAGTATTAAAAGATATAAGCTTTTCTTGGCAGCCGCTTCTGAGAGCAGAATTGGCTTTTCAAATGACTTTCTAGCGCTGCCGGCGACACTCAACAAAAAGTTCCTGGAGCTATAGGAACAGGCTCTGTCAAAAAATAAGCACTTAGTAGAAGAAGAGCAAAGCTCAGGAAAAAAGAGGCGTAAATCAAAGGAAATTGAAGGAAGAAAAATGTTGGAAGCAACGAGAGTAGAGTGCTCCGAGGCAAATCCTCGCCAAATAATTCATTTCTGACCTCCTTAGTAAGTAAATTTGCTAAATAAATAAGAGCAGCGCTTGAATGTCAAGAACGGGTATGCTGCCTGTGGTGCTTTGTCGCTGGCAGTCTTGGCAGAGCTGTACTACGCTCTGCTTTCATTAGATGGGCTAAATAAATGGCTTCTCCTCCATCCATCCTGAGCTGTTTGATGTTTGGGGAGGATGAAGGGGGAGTAGCGTTCTCTGGATTTAATATGTTAAAAGCTGTCCTTCTATTTTTCGCACTGGTTTATTCTGGTGCCCTCAGAGTGTGCACAGAGTTGAGTCAGGAGTTTGAAGGAGCGATGTGCCCGCGCTGCCCTGAGAACAGATTGGCTCCATATATAATTCATGGCCTCCAGCCGATTCACTCCATCCTTCCATCCAGCTCTCTGCCTCTTTCTTCCGTGGCGCACAAAGGCGAGGGATCGATAGGGACAGCCGCTCAGCCGTCACACACTCCGCTGCTGTCTGCTCCAGTTAGCAGCGCTGGGAGCCATCACTGCGGCCTGTCAACACAAATGAAGGACAAAGCCACCGCCGTTCGGAGAGAGACGCTGTCAGCTGGTTGGCTGGCACGTTGTAACCATGGCATCCCCTTGGCAACGGCGCCCACTCCGTCATGAGCACAAGGACACGCTTAAACACATGGGCCCTCACGCACATCGCGCTGTGGAAGTGCCCTTCACCCACCCAGGATCAGCACTGCACACAATGTGTCTGCACAGAAATGTGGCGATTGTTAAAACTTAGAAAAACTGTAACTTTTGTAAAGTATATTTCAGCTATTCAAACTAGACTTGCTCTATGCTGCTTGGCTGTGTGGGTGTTCAGGAAACAGATTTATAGTATAAATGAGTTGAATATTATATGCAATATTATTATATTGTGTTAGTCTAAAAACAGTTTATGTCCAGCGCAGTACAGGTTTCTGGACTTTTGAGGACAGCTCTTGTGCAGCTCAAACTTTTTTCTCAAACTCTGGTTGCGTGAAGTGGAGTTTGTCTCCTCAGGCCACTCCTGGACTACAAACTGAGAATGCACTGATGTTATGGAGCTAGATAGATGTTTTCCATGTTTCTCAGTGAGTGTGTGGTTCCCCTGGCTCAGTCTTATGGAACAGCGATTACCTCCAGCTCTGGGCCCCTGAGCTCCAAACATGCCCCCCATCTGTGCACCAGGGACGCGCTCACAGTTCTGTGTTGTTCTAGCCTCTCTCTCCATATTCACTCCTCTTCTCTTTCTCCATCTCTCCCTCTCTCTGCAGCAACAGGATGCTTTTTCCAGCACAAAGGTGCCCAAGAGCAAGATGAATGTGCTGTTCCATTTTTCCCCGATAGCAGCACATGCATATATTAAGTGTGATTAAACGCTGTGCGGTGCCTCCATCAAGTGCTTTCTAATGGGCTTTTTTATGACATGAATTAGTCATAATGGGAGTGCGCCACAGTTGAAAACCTCCAACCACTGTGGTTGTTGTTGATTTGGATATTTCTCATTCACATGAGAGCTTGTGCTTACATTGCTTTAGGTGAGAGGGGGCGTTTACAGTGTGGAGATACCAAGGCCACTGCCAAACCACTTCCACTTTTGTTACATCGAGGAGTCAATGGTGTTGATCTGTAACGTCTATAACATGCATACAGGTTATACGTAGGCAGCATCAGCACATTCTACATGGAGACTTGGCCATATAAGCACGGATTCTGGGAGCTCGTCATGGAGCTCCCTTTGCACCTCGGCCCCCATAGAGGGATTACACATGTATCATCATTCGTACTCTATGACTAATTACATCTGTGAGATGAGATTATGTGAAGGTTTACCAAGCCAATCCCTTCTCTTAGGCTATGTGTAGAGCTTCCAACACGAGGCATTACACTCTGACTGAGAGAGATGCCAGTTAGAGACTTTTTGAATGGCATAAATCCATGAAGCACGTTTTTGAGCCCATATATCTTATAGTTGTCTGTTCCCAAACTAGGGGAAGGTTATCTGTACACTTTTAAACAAACCCTTTGACCATCTGCATGTCTCACCTTTAATTTATCTTGTCTTCCATTTGCACTTCCTATCTGCTCTCGCCGTGCACCTTTCTTGCTTTCTGTGGTCGTCCCGGAGATAATCTGCAGTCACCAGGAGATAGACCAAATTGTTCTAAACACGGTGTTCCTTTTCAGCCTCCGTGTCCCTGCTCCGTCCTCACTGGTCCGGGCAGATAGAAGGCAAAGGGGCGACGGGCATTAGGCAGGCTGCAGATAAGCCCCTCTGATGTCACTTTGAACACCGTGTGATGAGCGGGCTTTAAAGGCAGGGCTGCTAGAGGAGGAAGATGGAGCAGGATTGATTTCTGCTGTCACCATGGCAACAAATAACATGATCCTCTCCAAAAGCACACCTTAATTAGTTAAATGAGGACTTGTGGGAGCAGGAGGGGGGGAGACATGCAGGAAAAAAAACATGAGCATGCTTTTAGCTTGGAGAGCTGTTTGTTTGATGGGAGATTTGTGGCTTGTCTGGTCTTTTACTCAGAGTTACACATATACACAGTGATTTGATTTAGTCTTGAAGTTTTGCTCTGACAGAATTGTTGTTGAATTTTATGATGCCAATGCTGCACATTGCTCTTGACAACTCATCTTGTTCAAATACACTTTTTTGACGGTTTCGCTTCTCTCTATGTGTTGCAGGCCGGGCAATTGTCAAGGTCCTGCTATGAGCCAGTCAAACAGCCAGTCAGTCGTCAACAACAATTCTTCGAACGCACAAAGTCCAGCCTACAACATGCCACCCACAGGTAAATGTCAATATTCTCTTCTCCTCGCAAAGTTCATGTTGAGGATAATTTCAGGAGGGCCTTGGCAGTACCTGTGAGCATTCCCAATCAGGACATTCAATTAAAGGGCCTGTGTGTAATATTTTTATTTTAAATGGCATGTATGTATTTTGTGTCCCTCAGATAACAGGTCATGTGTACAAATCACATTTTACCTTTTCTGAACAACAGTTGAAATCTAATTATTTACATTTTCAGAATTAAACTTGTTGCAACGGAGAGAGAGCGATAGACTTTAAGAAAACAGTCATCAAGTCGTTGTCTGTAAAACGCAGACTTTGTACCGTTTTGATTTGCGAAATTCAGTTATCAGTAATCAGTGCAGAGGTGCTGCATGTGTCACAGGGAGAAAGATTCTGGCAACAAAAATTAGATTGTACTTATAATAACTGTATTAGAACAATAAGAGTGCATATTAAATACGGTCTCTTTATGACAGAAGAATATAGAGCCATATAGTTTTGTAGTTCATGGAGGAGGGAACATTTTGTCTTCTAACTAAAATGTCATCTTGCGGTATATAAACTCTGGTGCATAGGGAGGAGAAACCAAATTTAAAAGAATAGGGCTTTTCACAGCATTTCCACCAATGGTTGTTTGTACAAAGTTTTTCACCTGCTGCATTGTTCCTAAACACACCTCCATGCGCCGCAGCAGCTTTTATTCAATGTTAAATATCAAAACTGTGTGACATTTGGAAACTTCAAAGAAATTAGAGCACCAAGGTTCCTTAAAATTCATCCACCTTGCCCCTGGGCACGGTAAAAATCCATTGGTTTTCCCAGCGCTGTGCCACACACAAGGAAGAATAGAGAGCAGCCTTGCATCCAAGGACCTCGTCTTTGTATGCAGCTGCCACCATTAAACCCAGTCTTAAAGATGTTAGCTCTTTTTCAATTATGAATAACCTGAACGTACCTAAGGCCTCTTTGAAAAACAGAAACATTTTTTGAAATGTGCTCTGTTTTGAATACACTGAATACTTCCACACTCGCAAGGTTAATAGAGGCATGTGTTGTCTGATTCTCTTTCACGCTTTCTCCACTTTATAAATTTTTATAGCCGATGACAAGATAGAAACCTGACAGCATTCTAAAAAGGCCAACATACATTCTGGTCAGATGTATAGATATATATTATTACGTAATACAGTCTTTCTCAAACTCTGTTCCTTTGTCCTTTGGGGATTGGCTGTAGAAGACTCTCCCACTTTCAGTTTGATTCATTTATAGTTTTTAAAGGATGTTCACATCTAGGTGCACAAGCATGACCTATGTCTCAGTCTGTGTGAGGAGAATCTGACAGAGCTGCTCTCAGGGCAGACCAGAGCTTGGATGATCTGATTGGACAGATTCCTGGCTCTCCACTGATAGAATATTCACAATGTCTGATGCAGAGAATGCAGAGTGTGCTCGGTTTGTTTCTGTCAATTGAAAAATGTGTTTTGTTTTTAATCTTTTCCTTGAAGGAGGCGTGACTGATGAGGTGCTGAGCCCAGATGCGAAAGCCAAATCAGATGTAAAAGAAGACGGCTCAGCTAATGATCCTCACAAACCAAAGGTTCTAGTGTGTTTCATTTCACCTCCTGCTCTCATACATGTTGCTGTTGTTGTTACTTGGCTACAATAAGCTTTCACAAATTATTTCATACAGTCTTGACAATACTACGGGTTATGCATATTTGATGAGCTAGAAGCCAATTAATTTTACAATCAATGTAATGGATTATCAAATCAAGTTCATCCTGCATTATTTACTATGAGAATAGTTCAGGGACTAACAAGTAGCAATGTAATTACATACTCGAAGTAGTTTTTTATTTTTTTATTTTTACCAATAGATGAGAGCTCAGTGTGTAGATAACTTTTTGATAGTGCTTGCACACAGAAAACTTCCCATAAACAGGTATGAGTGAAGCAAAACACAGCTCCAGGTGCATTTTTGAAGTGGGAACATTTTTACAACATGGCAGAAACCTCAAAAAGCAGCTTTAATAATTTGTTTAACATTTGGTGCTCGCGATGTTTCCCCCTTGTCTTTTTGCCCCTAGCACTGTTCTTTGCTTCATATTTTGGCGGGCACACTACATCCGCTGCCCATGCCTCCATTGACTCTCACACCTCACTTCCCTAGCGCTTCTAGCCCACACTGTATCTACGTCCCAAAACACAATGCTGACTTCTCATTTTGCCCGATTATCACTGCTCCAACTCAACTCGGTGGTGTTAGCTTCGGCCCACCTACCCCTCTCTCACACCCCCATGTTTTTGCACTTTACAACTCCAATCCCACACACACGCACACACACACACACTCCATCACCTCCTCAGCCCGTCCAAATCCCTGTCTTTTCTTTCGCTGATTACTGTACGAGGGCCTTTTGAATTATTTAAAACAGCCCGAGCAGCTAGAAAGACCCACAATGCTCCCGACAGAGATGATCTGTCTGCTCAGGGAGGAAGAGAGTTAGAAAGAGGAGAGAGGAAGATAAGGTTTTGCTGACATGGGTATTCCTCGCTCCAGACCAGAAGCACTTGTCAAGCTGTTGTTCCCTCTTTCACAGGCGCTACACACACACGTTCACACTACAGACACACACACACACTCGCGCACACACAAGTGGAAGCTAACATGAAGTGATTTTCTCCCTAGTCTGTTAGCCAGTGCGCGCTCAGGAGATGTAAAATGCAAGCTAATGCATAATGATCAGCCTGCATTTGAAATTCTCAGCTTGACAACAAACACTGAAAATGAGGACACACATACTGATTGTTCAAACAGTGGGATTTAGGTTAATGCAATGCCAAATTTGGTAAGACAAACATTCTTATCTTGATGCCAAATTTAGTAAGACAATTATTTCTCTATAGACTTTACTCTTGACGTTAACATCAAGAGAAAATAAAATCATTAGAAATCATGTTTGTATTTGTACAAGGCCATTTAATGTGCTCCTCAGGCTCAATTAAAACAGTATACATACAAATATACAACATAATAACATATACAGTATATTCATATTAACACTGCTGCATAAAAGTATTGGGCCTAAAACTCTTATCGAAATAGAGACGTTAAAACAAATGGTTGTACAAATATAAGATTTTGCATTTCTTAGCACACACCTATCTATGTTGTGTATGTCGCCCTATGTTTCCGATGTCTATTGTCTGTGTGAATGTATCAGATACTGTCTCTTGAATTTCCCCTCATGAGATGAGTAAAGCATTTATCTATTTTTCTATCGTTTTGAAGCTGACACAGTACTGTCTGTCTGCTTTCATAGCTCCAGGACGGTTACAGCAGCACTAACAGCAGTAGTGCAGGTGTGTCACAGCCCACCACACCAGGGGGCGCTCTCCCTGTGGCCTCCCCACTCTCTCCCAGCCCTGCCAGTCTGTCCTCTTCCCATGGGGATGACAGCGACAGCATCAGCAGCCCACCATGGTCCCTCAAGACCCCCCCCAGCCCTGTAAGAACCAGAATCACACTCCTCCTATCCGTGCACGCTAATACTACTATCAAGTTCATGAAATGGATTTTCTTTAGGCAGTGAGTCTGGAAAAGTATTATAAAAATGTGAGACTTATCTCCCTGTGCAACAAAAATCTTTAAGCTCTGCCCCTCAACAAAAATCTTTCCTTAGAATGTGGAAATACAGGATGAATTATTGAAGGATCCCAAAGGCTGCATGTTTTGTGAAAACTTAAAAACACCTGAATTATATTTAGACCCCAAACCATACACTAATTTTGTCAGACAGGATCTGTTTGGAGGTTTTATCCAAAATCACTTCTGTGTTCATTGAATCGTCAATAATAACATTGTTTTTCTATTAAAGAAGAGTGTTTCGATCATACAAAATAGATTTTCAGGACTTTTAAATCATGTTTTTTTTCCTCCTTAAGAGGTATAGCATCATAAATAAATGAAAAAGTAACACCACTAGCTCATTCGCAGTTGTATTTAGAGCTTTTGATGTATATCCATTCTTTTTTTCCCATTCCATCGAGACACCATTTCTCTGAGAATCCGAGCTTGTCAAAACGAACTGACTGTCACTCCCATGTGATTGGGATTTATTGTTATGTTTGGACAATACACAATAATTCTGAGCTGACGGTTGTTTCTTCTCCGTTTTCTCTGCAGAAACCGAACCCCTCTTCTCTCTGTGGTGAAAGGGGGGCGCGTCTTTTTGAGTTTGGTGCGGAGCCGGAGAGACGCAGCTGGGTGGAGCGGTATCTGTCCTTCATGGAGGACAGGGGCACGCCGGTGGGACAGTTGCCAATAGTGGGCAAGAAGCCTTTGGACCTGTGGAAACTGTACATGGCCGTGCGTGAGATCGGCGGGTTGGCGATGGTAAGGAAATACAGACCACTTCAAAATGATTAAAGATATGCTGCTGTTAATCAATTTGAAGCCATAAACGGTTCTATAGGGATGGACATAGCTAACTCATGAGCTAGCTGAAGGTTACTGTAATAGGGAAGGGCTCATTGTAAAAATTATTATTATTAATTATTAATTGAATAAAAATTGTAAATGAGCTTCTCGCCATCACTCTGACCCAAACTTTAAACATTAACCTTAAAATTGATGCTTCAACACATAGTTCTGGTGTTCTGATTATTTTGTCCCTAAGAGTTAACTCATACAGGAGTCAGTTCCACTCTCTGATTTGTCTTCGGCAAGCAGATTAGCCTTGCTTCTTACTGTTCCTTTGGTTGCTATGTGGTTGCTATGAGATATGTTGATGTCATATTCCCGTCCATGGAGTTAGCTCTAATCTGCTTCCTCCAGTAAACCCAGGCCTACATGTTTTAAGCATTTGGCGTGTTTGCTAATGTATGGTGAAGATCTAGTGTGTATGCTATAATAATATTATATCGTACTAAAATTATAACTTAGTGTATCATCATTTTTTTTGCTTATTGTTCAAACGTGTTCATGATTTGCTAAATTTAGAGTTCAACCTAGTGTGTGATACGAGTAAATACTAAACTGTCAAAACATAAAAATCAATTATTGTGGATTTACTCAGCTGGCTGTAATCTGCCCGACTCCAGGCAAAATGATAAGTGTCTGGCTGGCACTATTCACCGGTGAGACAATCAGAAGGAACATGCTTTATTTAATCTTCTATTGCCTTGTTGTTTGTTGTTGTTCCTTTTTCCCCTCAAACCAGGTAAACAAGAACAAGAAGTGGCGTGAGCTGTCCAGCACGTTGAATGTGGGCACATCCAGCAGCGTGGCCAGCACTCTGAAGAAGCAGTACATCCAGTTTCTGTTTGCCTACGAGTGTAAGATGGAGAGGGGCGAAGAACCGCCCACTGACAACAGCAGCAGTGGGACAGGGGCCGGAGAGCGGGGGAAGCAGGTCAAGATCCAGCCTCCGTCACCTGGTAGGCAAAACTCATCAGAACTCAGAAACTAAGCAATGCTGAGCCTGGTTAGACCTTGGATGGGAGATCTCTAGCAATACCACAGTGGGTCATTAGGGGCCATAAGGTGCTGAGCTGTTGTGTTCGTAAGAAAGACACCCATTTTCCCTTGTATGAATCTGGTTTGTGAGAGAATGGGTGGCAGCCACACTTCTGACGGTGTGATCCAAGGCAGCTGTGACTACAGTTCTAGCTTGTTCTCTGTGAAAATCAGCAGTGTGCATATATGAATTGTCTTGTTATTAAGTGTCCTTTAAACAAAGTTGAATCATATGCATGACTCATTTGGGCCATGAGCAATTATGGATAATTCACTAACTGAGTGACCTACTTATTATTTAAATTTAAATGTTAATATTTTTTTTATTTTAAGTCCTAGTCAAGCATGTCTCATTCCCATTAACAAAATCTAAAAAGTTGGTAATATTTATTTTTGTTACTTTTATACATTGAAAATTCCATTTCATATTTTCAATAGTATATATTTTATTCATATATGCATAGTTGAAAGCATAGGTTTGTTTGTATGAGTACTTTTTTACAGAAGTGCTTTTGCTGGATTTTTCTCTTTCGTCAGAATGTATCAATGCAAAGAACGGGGCACCCCATCAGCGCCGTAGCCTTGACCTTGTTTTGCCATAAGAGCTGTGTGCCCCAGTGACACCCTCAGGTCTATATATAGAGCAGGAGGCTGATGATGTCACAGTGGGAGTGCGTCCAGCTGTCAGAGGGAGGGGTGATTAATGAGCGGTGGAATGTACTACGTAAACAAACCCGACCTCCTTGCCACCTTTCATTCACAAAACTGGCTCAGCTGACTGACTTAACCCTGCACCTTCCACCCGGTGAACTACCATCTCCCTGGGATTATGTCACAGCCAAACACACACACACACGCACACACATGCACACACACACACACACACACTCTCAGATAGCACTGGTTCCTTGTTTTCCCTGCCTGTTACTCTGAATGCTTGCTGCTATGTTTTTGCTCTGCTCAAGGCTGTAGTAATATATACAGGGTAGCCCCAGAGTCATTAAATCATTAAAAATAAATTCCATTTGATGGAGCCAAATTCAAGGCCTTAAAAGTTTAAAATTTCATAAAAAGGGCATTGGACATTACAAATTGATGCGTCACATATAGTTCCTTCAAGATCCAAGAGCCATTTACGTATTCTATTCAAAAATGTTACATTATCTCTTATCTCTCTTTGACTATTTCAGTAAGCTGGAAAAGGCTTGGAATTGATCATTTAAAAGATCCCAAATTAATATATTTTTAATATATAAATAAAGTTTTACATTTACTGTTTAGCCTTTTATAAGCACTTATAAATCATAGTAAATATTAAAGTATATGAACTTTTATATATGTTTTGTCAAAAAAGGAATTGAATTAAATAAGGATGAAATAGGCAGTTTCCTGAAACAGTATTTAAGTAAGTTTTAAATTTAACTTGACCAAATCATTTTGAAACATTTTAATCCCAGAAGCTGATGAATCACCTGCTGCCCCTTGTTTGCCCTCTCACCCACTTCCGGTCCTTGGCCGTCCTCATCATGGGACAGCCGTGTCTCTGTCTGCTCCGCTGCCGTGATGTAAACGCAGGGGTAGCATTCAATAATTCACTGTTTTCATCAATATTTAAACGTCTCTGTCTGTGCTAACAGAAAAATGCTTTCTACTCCAAATGTCAGAGGTGGCTAGAGTAATATAGTCCTGGGTACTTAGGTAAAAGTATAGATACCAGAATAAAAGTATAAATACTAGAATAAAAGTATAATTACTAGAATAAAAAATCCTTTCTGGTCAAGTATTGCAATGATTCCTGTAATCGTAAAAGTATAAAAGTACAAGCTTTTGGAGGTACTTAAGTAAATATATATATATATATCTATATATATATAGATATATATAGATATATATTAGGGCTGTCAAGATTATCACGGTAACGCACATTAATTAATTTTTTTCATTAATCGCGTTAAAAAAATTAACGCATGCCCATGCATCCCATAATAACACTCAGAATGCCGCGGACACGTGTGTGTGAGATGGCAACAGAGCAGGTCTCTGGGAATTCAAGTTTTAAAAGAATACACGCGCTTCCTGTATGAACTCTGCGAGCTGAGCTGAGGGCGCTCTGGACAGCGGTTCCTCCAGCGGTTCCTCCAGTGGTTCCTCCAGTGGTTCCTCCAGTGGTTCCTTCAGTGGTTCCACCAGTGGTTCCTTCAGTGGTTCCACCAGTGGTTCCACCAGTGGTTCCACCAGTGGTTCCACCAGTGGTTCCACCAGTGGTTCCTCCAGCGGCTGTGATCACGGCGAACGGCGCCCCGGAACGTGATCATATCCAAGACCACGCACAGAACTATTCTCTGATTGTAATGTGCGTGGCTTTGCGTAACCGGTGCACACAATAAATACAGCGCAGAAGCTGGACTATGGAGCCTCAGGGCACGTTCACATAGGTTTTTACAAACGTACAAGGCCAAGTGGCCCGGATCGTCGCCACAGGGGTGTGAAAACGGCCCACGGTCACATGAATGTATTGTCTGAACCGTGCCAGGGAAATTGTGCTGTAGTACAACACTCGGTCCAGCTGGTGGCGCTAATACTAACACCAGAGACTACCAGTCTCCTGCCTGTGTCTTCTCCCAAAGCGCACTTGCGAAATTAAAGCTGGGGTACCTAATTTTCCCTTCCACTACCAGTTCATGACAGATTTAATGACATTCTGCATTTCAGACTGTTTTGAAATGTCCCTCATCTAAACAGTCTAAACAGAAAGACAGAATGTTAATAATGTTAATGCCATTTTATGTGGATTTATTGTATAATAAACTAATACAGTTCATATGTACACTATATTGGCATGTATCTTTCCATTCAAACAACCATTTACAGAAAAAGATGGCATCATTTTGTCGATAGTTGGAAATGCGATTAATTACGATTAATTCATTTTTAAGCTGTAATTAACGCGATTAAAAATGTTAATCGTTTGACAGTCCTGATAGTATAAAAAAGTATATATATATATATATATACTTTTTTGTGTTTTTTATTTTTTAAGCATACATTTAAAGAAGAAACAACATAAGCCAAACTATAATTTGAACTTTGAAGCAAAGCTAACCACAGCAAATGAATTCAGTTAGAAGCATTGCCGATCACTTCAAACCATAGTTGTATGAGTTGAAGGAATGAGAGAAGGATTTGGGTTTAAGAGTAAGGAGGAAACATAAAAAGTAGTTTGATTAATAAGTAGAAAAATACTGATACTGTACTACTTCAGTGCAGTTGAAATTACAAATATATATCTGTTTCTCTTGTCACCACTGCTAAAGGCTCATTAGGGGGAAAAGGCCTGTGTTTAAGTTACTGTGTGACTGAGAGTTTATATTGACTAATACCAGTGTGATATCTGACCAGCATATTTTGTACTATGGGCTGCTGTCATATCTGTATTACTGCTAAACCTTATCATATGAAGAACTGAATGCATTTGTTCTGGCCCACATTGTTACTACAGTATCTATATATCTATATCTCAAGCATGAGTCATTTTTATCTCAAATGATGACATCTCAGTTCTTAAGCACAATTCAATGTAAAGCCCGTCTCCTTTTCTTCTACTCCAAAATAAACCATGGTACAGGTGCAATCGCCGCGGCTTTGTCTTCATTGCGATGAAGACAAAGACGTAACGAGATGCAGGACATCTCGTTACGCTAACAGTTATTATCCACAAGCTGTTATCAGTGTGAACAGAGCACTTTAATGATTTGAACTTGTTTTGAAACTGTTTTAGTCGATCGATTTCACAGTGACATTTGTTTACTGTTTTATTTGTTTTATTTTTGTCTTTTAATGTTGTTTTATGTCTGTATTTGTCTGTGCACACTGGTGACTTTTGCTAATGTATTCCAATGTGGTTTTTTTACTGCAAATGGCAAATAAACTGAATCTGAATCTGAATCTGAATTTCTCGACACCAGCAAAAACTGCCCTGCAATTCACCCTCTTTTGTTTACATGGGTATTCTCTTGCCTGACCTTTACCTGACTCCACTTTCTCCTTCTGCTGCTGAGGTTTGGTGTAGCACACATCTCCGAGCTCACCTGTAATTCTGATCTCATATCCCATAAAGCCTTGCGGTGTGGGTGCAGAGGACAAGTCGGACTCAGAGTGCGTGTTACACTGGATCACCGCGGCTATCGCACTAAAGACTGCTTCTGCCTTTCAGCAAATTCTGGCGGATCCCTCCAAGGCCCACAGACGCCCCAGTCCTCCGGCAGCAGCTCCACGGCAGAGGCTGGAGGAGAGCTAAAGCCCCCCACTCCTGCCACCACCCCCCTGGGACAGGCCACGCCACTCCCTCCAAACAGGTACCCGTCATCCATAAACCAGCCATAAAGCTTCATTTAAATCATAATTTATATTTTAAAATGTACAAAGTCTTTCAACACGTGGCACTTCTCAGCAAGAAGGTCCTGGGTTCGAATCCCGATCGTAACAGGAAATTTCTGTGTGGAGTTTGCATGTTCTCTCTGTGTCTGTGTATACTCACATATATGGAAAAAAAAGTGTATGGACTTATTTAAACCCAAACTTTCAGAAGCAATGTTTATTATGACTACAGATCGGTTAAATGCTCTAACAACTCCATTAATTTAGCGGCACGGTGGCGCAGTGGTTAGCGCAATTCTGCCTTTCTGTGTGGTGTTTGCATGTTCTCCCCATCTCTGTTTAGTTTTCTTCCAAGTGCTACGGTTTCTCTTCCACTAAAAACATTCACAATAGGTGTGAATCGAATGGATGGTGTTGGTCAGAGGCTTTGTGACAGTGTGATCGGCGTCTTTCATCACCACGTGTGGAGTAAAATGAAACAATATCTAAACTCTGAAAATTGTAAAGCACTTTTAAAGTGCTTTTCTCAAGTGATGACGTGTGTTCCTATGCATTTCATATAAAAAGCCTTGTCTCATTTTCTTTGATCTGAGGAGACTCCAGATCGAAGAGATGTGACCTTGGTCTGTAAAAATGTGCTATATAAATACAGATTACTTACTTCAATTTTGCCTTTTTACAAAACTTGAAACAAGCTATGATATATCATGTTGACTGAGTATATGGCCCAAGGCTTTGAGTTGTTTTGGGTTAGATTAAAGATGGATTAGCTAACTTTTAAACGTTGTAAAAACACAACAAGTCTAGCTCTAAAAACAGTTTGCTTCTAGCTGGGTTTTCACATGCATTGTTGGCCTCACTTTAGATTAGTTTTTCAGACAAAATAGTGAACAAGAAATGGCGAAATTCCCAGCTTTCAGGTATAGCCTGAAAATGATATGCTCCAAGATCAATATCATCAGGATTGCCAGATGGTATTGATCCTTTTTGTCACTATTTGTGGGAAGAAAAGCAGAAAACTAACATCCCACAAAGAATGATATTTGCCTTAATTTAGAAGTCACTATTTTGGCAGAAACATGAAGATGCAATAGTCTCATGTCTTCCATGCATGTAGGCCTCTATAGATCCACTCTTCATTGCACTGAATCAGTCTGTGTTTGCCAAATATCTAGTTAAACATTTGTTTTTTACTAATCATTATCAATACATTAATTTATCGTATTTATGGTCATTGTAATCAGACCAAGGGCATGTCATACAGTACCCACTGTGCATGTTAATAAAAAAGTTAAACTCAGATATTGGCACAATTGAGATATTGAGGAGGAAGATTCAATTCAGAAACATGTTCAAGGTTATTTGTGAATCAGAAGTAGTTTGTGAAATTGCAAAAATAAGTGAAAATCTCTCTCTGCCTTAGAGATATTCTACTGCTTACCTTAGCTGTTAGCTTCCATCTCTGCAATTGAGCAAGTAATCTTTATATATCTTGCGCCTTGCACAAACCAGATTCACAAAGCGCTTTACAATTGTTGTGGGCACCTGTTGTACATGTTTTTAGTGGAAGGGGAAACCGGAGCACCCAGAGGAAACCTACGCAAACACAGGGAGATCATGCAAACACCACAGAGAAAGGCTCAGAGGTGAAATCGCGCTAATCACTGCGCCACCGTGCCGCCAAATTAATGGAGTGACAGCATTTAACCTGATCTGTATTGAGGCTAAAGATTTCTTCTAAAATTTGGAGTCAAAATAAAAAGTCCATAAATGTTTTTCCATTTGTGAGTAAACTCCAGTTAGAGGGAGTTCAGTGTTTGTTTACGAGTGGCCTCCAGCGGCCTTTTACGACAGGCACTTGTGGTGGTCTGAAACTATCTAAACCTCGCTCTCTTTGGTTCCCATGGTAATCGAATACAAAGATACGACAAAATGAAAAATCTCACCTCTGTCTTTCTATGAAGTACCCTGTGAAGAAGGTCACAAGCCTCCAGGGGGCGCCGTTAGCACACAGACAATACTTATAGGTGTCTAGGAGGATTTTCTACTTCCAGGTGGATCATCAAGACTATTGGTCCTCACAATTGTCAATCATTCTGGTGATATGTGCTCGTCCAATAAGACCAGAGAAATATGTTTTCCTAAAATTTGTAATAATCCTCCTATATACCTTTAAACTTTGCTATATAGACCATGGTACTTGACAAACTTAGCGCCTCATATTTTTTTGTGGTCTGAAAATTAGATTTAAATGTTATCCTACTTAAAATATGGCTGTTACTTTTTTGTATTTAGAGGGTTATATCTTTGTATTCAATGAGTTTTCTCGCATCACACAGTTTTAAAAGTAAACTCTGGCGTGTCCCCTCAGGAGCAGTGTGAGTGTGCAGGACCCCTTCTCGGAGGTGAGCGACCCGGCCTTCCAGAAGCGCGTCCCCCCCTCCGGCCCCTACCAGCAGAGCCTGGCCATGCCCGACATGATGATGAGGATGCACTATGACACCAAGGACCCCTTCGCTGGCATGAGGAAGAGTAAGTGGCCACATGCTGAGAAGCTCATATAGAAAAGAGAGAAGTGCTGTGAAAGTGCATATGGCAGGTTAGACTGGACTTTTCACAAAACACAGTCAACAACATTACTTTTAAGACCACACCATACATTTTTATTTGAGTTTTTTTAGCACAAATAATTACAGTACATTAAAAAAGAGTTCAGATACTATCTCCAGTTGTGTGCGTAACTAAATAGAACTGTTTTAACCAAGATTTGAGCATTGCTAGAGTCTGTCATTTGCAGTTCCTAGTATTAACTGCATGAATTTAAAAACTGCTGCCTCCCCATGTTTGGTTCTAAGATTCTCAGTCCCTGTGCCCCTCAGAGCTTCTCCTGATTGGTTCATATGGCACGGATGTACTTTGATGCGAGGCCATGGAGAGCTGCTTTAAAGTCTATTCCCTGAGCCACAGGAGGCCAGTGCAGAGACCTGAGAACTGGACTAATGTGATTATACTTCCTGGTTCTAGACAGGACTCGAGCTGCCACGCTTTGACTATATATTGCAGGCTATTAAAACTGGCTATATTCTTGTTATAGCCATAGTTTTTATAGTTAGAGTGAATCATTAAACTGTCATACAAATGTGTAAATATGCAACTGACTTGTGCATCCCTTGTGTGATGTCATCAGTTCTCAAAATAAAATGTCATGTAAATTTCAACATATTTTCACATTTCTCTTCATAAACTAGGACTTTATTTGTGAAACTAAAACTCTCATTCCAACCAAAGAGGTCCAAAATAACGCACACAAACCTGTTACACACCGTTGTCCTCACTTATATTCACAAACATTGTTGGCCTGACTCATCTGAGGGTATCTTTCATCCACGTTCCTGGTCTAAATTATGTGTAATCCCTGTGTCATCTGAGAAAAAGACAGATGTGAATTTCCGCCAGTAAAAATATGAAAGGCGAGGCAAGCTGTTTGTCACATCCTCACGGCGTTATCATGAAAACAGCAGCCTCTCTGATCGCCGTGTAGCTTAGCCTTTCTCTCATCCTAACTTTGTTTCATGCTTTTCATCCACCACATCTCCACCTTTCATCCCACACCGCCCCACTGAGAAGCACCTGTTTGGACCCGCGCTCCGGGTTTGGGATTTCACAACAAACACCAGTTGTAGACACAACTGGGGCTCTCTGAAGGCGAAGGAAAATGGAGTCTGAATGGATAATATAGAGGATGTTAGCTGCATAATAACTGAAGACGCTCAAAAACAACAGGTTTAATCAGAGCGAGGGGAAACATGTGTGGAGTAATGCTGCCATCTGGTGGCGGACACAAGGCATGGCTGAAGATTTAGCTATATTTACTTGTCCCACGGTAGGGAAATTTTAAATGAACAATCGCTAGACTAATTAAAATAAAAGAAAATCTCTAACTCTAGCATCAAAGAAAAAGTATAGTAAAAATGATAAAAACATTTTAAATTTGGCAGAATAAAAAGATAGTAAAAGTACTGTACTTATCCCTGCATTTGTCTCCAGTAGGTTAGACTACTGCAATGGCCTGCTCACAGGTCTGTCCAAACAGGCTGTAAAACAGCTGCAGTACATTCAAAATGCAGCAGCTCGAGTCCTGACTAGAACCAGGAAGTACGACCATATTAGTCCGGTCCTCAGGTCCCTGCACTGGCTTCCTGTGGCTCAGAGAATAGACTTTAAAACAGCTCTGCTTGTGTACAAGTCTCTCCATGGCCTCGCACCAAATTATATTAGTGACATGTTAGTCCCATATGAACCAGCCCGGACTCTGAGGAGCACAGGGACTGGACTCCTGTTAGTGCCCAGAGTCAGAACTAAACATGGGGAGGCTGCTTTTCAGATTCATGCTGCTAAAATCTGGAACAATCTTTCTGAAGATGTGAGACAGGCCTCCTCTCTGACTATGTTTAAGACGAGGTTGAAAACAGTTCTGTTTAGCTGTGCATACAACTGAGAGATTTCATATTTTTTATTTTATCTTTCTTTTTAATGTACTGTGATTATTTATGATTCTAATGCTTTCTTTTTTTTTGTTCAGCACTTTGAGTTGCTTTGTGTATGAATTGTGCTATACAAATAAACTTGCCTTGCCTTGCCGTTAATGCCAACAGGATGAGACATGATTCCAACCCTTTTATTGTGAATGTTTATGTTCTTTTCTGTTGCACAATGGCTCCCAGCCATTTTTTAATATATGAAAAAGAATAGCCTTATGACCAAAATGATTGATTTTTTGTTTGATAAAAGTCATCTAAAATAAAAAGATAGAGAAAAGACAAAACTAAAATGTCCAAAATTAAGGAAATGCAAGATGGGACAGATGTGTTTTGAGAAATGTTGTTTTGTTTATTATCATTTCAACCTTTATTTCACATTTGGTGTTGCAATGCTTTTAGAGACTATGGCTCCTCAAAATAAAAATCTCAGTATTTTCAAATTGCGTGCTCAATCTTGTGGCAGTTAAATATTGCAAGATCTGGTGGCATGAGATCTTGTCCTGTGCCTGTTGAATTATACAAGTGAATATGGTTAATTTAGTTTTGTGTTTGTTTTTGTGGTTGCAGTGGCTGGGGGGGACCCCTACATGCCCAATCAGATGACCGGGGGGCCCATGCAGGACATGTATGGCCGTCCCTCCACTGCTCTGCCCATGAACCAGCGCACTCCGTATCCCTACGGACCAGGTTTTGAAAGAAGGTAATAATATGAAGATAAATATTATATTTTAAGCTTTGCCTGGTTTGTTTGTGGGTTGCTTTCAGAGGACACTTTCTGAATAACAACGCTGCTTTTATTTTATTAGAATTCTTTTAAGAAAGTTTAGTTGTTAATTAAAGAATTATTACAACGTTTTTTACATTGGTTTGTTAAGCGGCAAGAATGTTTCTTGTGTCTTTCCTTTTGTTTTCATCAGTGACCTACAATTGGGAGTGGGAGCAACTCTAACACTTCTTTAACTTTCAGACTGGAGTACCTTACATATTATAAAATCCATCTTACTAGTTCCTCTCTCTCAAAACAGTTTGGTTCTTGGTTTGTAGTTTTTACATACATGTTGTGGTCAGGTTTGTCCATTGGGACATGCAAAATGTATTTATGAAACAGAAACGTTTAATCCTAGCTTTAACCTGACCTTTTATCTCTCGTGGTCTCAGGCCTGACCATATGATGACTATGGAAGGAAGCATGGGCCCTCCTGGAAGTCAGAACAATATGGGACCAGCCAACAGTGAAAACAACATGTATGCTCCCAACCGATATCCCTCCCAGCCGAGGTCAAGCATCCCATAAAAGACACATTATTTTTGTTTTGGCATCTCCCTTTACCGTTCGTGTTCTTGTTTCGTTCCAGGCACGAGGGCTACGGACAGCAGTACAGCATGCCTTATGGGATGCACTCGTCCGGGATGTATCCGCAGCAGCAGGTCACAAACATCTCTATGCTCTTGCTGTTTATGCATGGGACAAAATGCAACCGCTTCTTGACCTTTGTCTGTTTTCTCACGCAGGCCTACAAACGCCCCATGGATGGAATGTATGGACCTCCAGCAAAGAGACACGAGAGCGATATGTACAGCATGCCCTATCAGAACCAACAATCAGAAATGTACAACCACTACGGAGGCAGCTACTCGGGCCCAGAGCACAGGCTAATGCAAGGCCAGTTCTCTTACCCGTCGTACTCTCGGGACCGCATGGGGCCGGGCCAGAGCCAGCACGGTATGATGGGTCCAAGCTCCACTCCCAATCACACCGATGGACCCAACATGTGGTCATCCAGGACTGACCTAGGCTACCCGTACCATAACCGACCTCCATCACAGATGCAACCGTACGGCTCGATGGGTAGAGAGGACATGGAGGGCCGGCCGGGGCAGGAGCAGTGGCACCGGCAGTCCTCCTACATGTCCTCCTCCTCCATGACTCCTCTGTCTTCACGCCAGCCTCCCTCCTCCTACCCCGGCTCGTCGTCCATGGTCAACCCCCTGTCCAGAGCCCCCAGCCCGGGAGCATACCAGCGCTCCATGGACTCCAGAATATCTCCCAGCAAAGTCCCTTTTATGTCCCCCATGAAGCTGCATAAACCGGGGATGGGCATGGTGGGTTCTCAGGGCTCGGGGATGCTCCAGTTTCCACATAACCTGAGGAGGGACTTGAACTACCCACCCGGATCTGTAGAGGCCACGATGCCAGCTTTAAAGACACGGCGCAAGTTCACGTCAAAGGATACTGGTGAGCGCTACTCCACACGTTTCTCCTGATAGAAAGTGGACAAGCACACACAATTATGAAAATATTCTGCTGGGTAATGAGCTTTGCAGAGTAGATTTGTTCTCACGGCTGACTACATTCTCCTCTTCTATTCCAGGAACCCCAGAGGCCTGGCGAGTGATGATGTCACTGAAGTCTGGACTTTTGGCTGAGAGCACGTGGGCTTTAGACACCATCAACATCCTGCTTTATGACGACAGCACAGTGGGCTCCTTTAACCTCTCCCAGGTGAACTGCACTTAACTGTTTATATATATGTTCATTTATAGGGGACAATTTTTGATAATTTGACTTTTTTAAATCTATTTACCATGTTTTAGTTTTCCTTGTCATGCCCAAAGATGTTTTGAGACGATATTTATTGAATTTTCTCCTGAAATTGAGACACAATTGCTGCCCTCTGGCTCCTCTGACCACTGCTTTTATTACTTACTTTGTTCACCGCTTTTGTGATATCTGAATTAGTGACAATCTGATACACGGTGCAGAATGTGCAGTGATGCGGTTGCTGGAACAGACTGTTGTGGTGAAGAGGGAGCAGAGTAGGAAGACAAAGCTCTCGGGTTTATCAGTTGATCTCCGCTCCCACGTCACCTACGGTCATGAGCTTTGAGTAATGACAAGCGGCCTAAATGTGCTTCCTCTACAGAGGGTCTGGGCGCTCTGCAGGGACAGGGTGAGGAGCTCGAAGAAGAGCCACTGCTCCTAGAGAGAAGCCAGTTAAGGTGGCTTGGGTCCCTGTGTTCCAGGCATGTCCCACTGGGAGGAGACCCTGAGGAAGACCCAGGACATGTTGGAGAGACTATGTTTCTCAGCTGGCCTGGGAACACCTCAGGATTCCCCCAGATGAGTTGGAGAGAGTGTGTGGATAGAGAAGTCTTACGAAATCTTACTTCATCCGAGCAAGTCTTTGAACACATCGCTCAGCGCTTTTCACATTTCAAACAAAAACTTAACACAAAGTGCTTCACAGTTTGATGTAACCAGAATGTGGAAGGACCTTGATTATTTTTAACATTGTTTTAGATCAATAATGAGTGAATGAATGAAGAATGAGTCACTGTTGTCATAAATGATCATAAATAGCAGACAGAAGCAGGGGGTCTTATAATCTCATACTAATTTCATTCTTTATATTTTCCAGTTGCCCGGTTTCCTGGAGCTGATTGTAGAGCATTTCCGTCGCTGCTTAATTGACATCTTCGGCATCCTGGAAGAATTTGAAATTGGTACTATTGTTCAGAAAGGTGACTCTGAGTTTTCCTGCGATGAAGTAGCAGACAAAATAGACGATGTCTGTAGCTCTGCCCTTGATCTTGATTCTACAGCGTTGCCTGAATGCACAGTACCACAATCCCCAGTAGAGGGCAGCACAGAGGCAGACGTGGTTGCTAAAGACGAGACAGTGCCGCCTGAGGTCAACAAGGAGACAGAGGTAAAGAATGATAAAAAAGAGGTGACGGAAAAGAAGCAAGATGATGAAAATATCGAGATGAAAGCGGAGATAAAGGATGAGCCACAGGAGCAGCCAGCTTCTGAGCTCGAGCCGAAGCCAAAACAGGCCAGCAAACACGACAAGTTCCCCATCAAAATCGACCAGAAGGAGGACTTGATAGAGGACCTCATGGAGCGCTTGGGTTACATCTCAGAGTTCAGTACTGGCCTCCTCCACTGGCAGCTGGGAGGAGGAGACACCACTGCACACATCCAGACGCACTTTGAGCCACGGACTGAACCTCCCACACAAAGCTGTAAAGGGACAGGAGACGAAGAGAAGGAGAAGGAGGGAGAGGAGCCACGAAAACTCATCACAGCTACTATCGACGACGTGCTATGTGCCCGGGTTGATGCACTTTCGGCCGCACACCCCGCACGCTTCCTGCCGTCCTACCCCTTCAGAGTGCATTCCAATGGGGAGAGGGACCACATCACGCTTCTGGAAGATGAGCCTCGGTGCCTGGATGACGCTCCGCTCTGCACCACACTGGCCTGGCAAGAGTCCCTCTCCAAACGCTGTCTGTGCGTGTCCAATATCGTCCGGAGTTTGTCTTTCATCCCAGGAAACGACTCCAAAATGTCCCATCACTCCGCTTTGGTTCTCCTCTTGGGCCGGCTCCTGCTACTGCACCACCAGCACCCGGAGAGGAGCAGAGAGGCCCCCAGCTTCCAGAGGGATGAGCAGCAGGAGCAGGGCGTGTCCAGTAACAAAGACGAGTGGTGGTGGGAGTGTCTCAGTGTGCTCAGGGAGGACGCCATGGTGACACTGGCCAACATCTCCGGCCAGCTCGACCTCTCCCACTACACGGACACCATCTGCCTCCCCATCCTGGACGGGCTGCTGCACTGGATGGTTTGTCCCTCTGCAGAGTCCCAGGATCCGTTCCCCTCCGCGGGCTCTCACTCACCCCTCACTCCTCAGAGGCTAGTCCTCGAGTGTCTTTGTAAGCTAAGTATCCAGGACGCTAATGTAGACCTGCTGTTAGCCACTCCACCCTTCAGCAGACAGGAGAAACTCTTCACGGTCCTGGTCCGGTACGTGGGGCAGAGGAGGACCCAGGTGTACAGGGAGATGGCGGTGGCCGTGTTGTCGCACCTGGCACAGGGGGATTCTACAGCAGCTCGTGCGATCGCCATGCAGAAGAGTTGCGTGGGGAATCTAGTGGGCTTTTTGGAGGATGGTGTTAGTATGGCACAGTACCAACAGAACCCTCACAGCTTGCTGCACATGGGACACCCTCCCATGGACCCGCCCAGCACCAACATGTTGTGTAGAGCCGCTAAAGGCCTCCTGGCAATGGCCAAAGTGGAGGAGAACAAATCTGAGTTTGTACTGTATGAAAGTAGATTATTGGACCTGTCCATTTCAACGGTGCTCAACACGGCTGTGGTGGCCACAATCTGCCAGATCATCTTCCACCTCGGGAAGTTATGACAGGAGGACAGGCAGGACTCGCAGTGAAGCCAACATATCCCTGTGATTTTATATTTTTATTTATCAAATTAAAAGAAGAATTTGTTTTGTATGAACACTCCAGCTTAACAGAATATCTCTATTCCTGTGAAGCTTCCTGGCCCTGTTAGTAAACAGGTTTTAATGTTGAGAGCTCATTTTAATACAAATATTTAATACCTGCTGGTGTTGGATTGCAGTGTTCAGCCTTTTCTTTTATGTGTTGGTTTGTTGTTTATGTTTTCAGCCAAAGCTGCCACCAGATATTGGTGCTGAATCAGTTTATTTGGGGACAATACTAATTATTTGCAGTTTTTTAAAATGCCAATCTACTCATCGACCTTTGTTATGAAGAGTATTTATTTAAAATGTGACACTGTACAGTAGTTTGATCTTATCGCAAACAAAAATGATGAAACTGAAACTGACTCTGAAATGTATGTTTTCTTCATTGGAAGATGAATTGTGCAATAGACCCATAAGATGAGCGAAGTCTAAAACAGAAACATGCAATGTGTACTTTACGCCACAGGGAGGCAGCATTGCACAAGCCAATTTACACGGGAAGAACCATCTGACTTTACCAACCACAGCCTTTGTTTTGACACTTGTGTTATGTCTGTATTTTTTCATGTGTATATAGAGGGTTGTATATTGGGCACGTGTTTGAAGCATAATGACAGATGAGGCTTTCTGAATTATTAGAAAGAAATGCTTTTATTGTTGGTAAATTTGTTATTGTTATTATACATATTTTGTTAATGGGGTCAAATATTTGAAAAGATGTAACTGTTTAATGTACAAATCCTGTATGCATTGTATTATAGCAGAGAAAACAATCGCTTTGGTAATTCCACATGAAAGTGCCGGTTTGAGAGGAGAGATTACTGAGAAACTGGCCATTCATACCTCCTTCATGTCAATGGAATCCCTCTGAACTGGCTCTGGACTCCAGGGGAAAGAGCTCATTGTAAACTTTGCCTTTTTCATTGGACTGTCTCTTTTATCAGTACACATTTATACTCTGTGTTGCACATGTCACAAATAAATGTACAATGAACATGGATACACACTCATGTCGCTTTATGTCCCAACAATCTTTAACCTATAAAACTAAATCTACTCAGGCTGCTGCGTTGGTTTCCCCTTGATAATAACATGGGAAACAGCCAGAAATCAATTGTTCAGGTCTGGAAAAGAATTATGGGCCTGAGGTAAACAATTTATTGTGTTGCTAGTTCTGTGTCTTTGTGCGTGTATGGATCAATGTAATTCAAATTGGATTAAACTCAGTGGGAGAAGAACTTAATATTATTACTTTATTATATTATCATTTTCTCTATGCAGTTAAAAGCAAACTAGAATTGTTGTAAGCTTCTTTGAATATCCAAAAAAGCTTTAATTATGTATGATGTATTATTATATTGATTAACACAATGGGTTGAGACTCTAGCTTGTGTTCACGTGACATCACAACATTCCTGAGAGCCTCTAGTTTAAAATTGTAGTCAAAGACGGCTGAGAAATCTTGGCTTGTAACTATGTTAAGTGTCAAAACTCAGCTAATTTCTCTGTCATTACCGACCAACCCACATATAACAAAAACCGTTGCAGTTCTGTGTCAATACATATTAACTATGAGCTAATTATTTTCTCATAAAAGTATCTAGATGTGATGAAAATATTTAAAAATAATAAACATTTCATGATGTTGGCCAGTAGTAAGGACTGTCTGTCGAGCTGTCACATGAAGGAGGACCCAAAATGCAGGAAAAATATTGATTTAATGAGGATGAAATCCAGGGACGAACAAAAAAAAAATCCAAACAAAATCGGGAACCAGGAAAATGACAGACATTGACAATGGACCAGCAACAAGTTGGAAAGAGCACAGGGTAGAAAACAGAGACACAGGTGAAACACATGAGGGCGGGGCACACAATCAACACAGACGGAACAGGACAGGAAGTAAATCTAAACCAAAACAAAATCAGATAAGAAGTCAAATTTAAAATAAAAACGTCCACACCATGACACTGTCAGACATTAGAGTAATGTGGTTGTGGATTTCTTTCAATTGCTTCCTATAGAGTTGTATTGACAATATTTTTCCAATTATTGCCATAATTACCAATGAAACCTAGATCCTGTCAGACCTCTGAAGCTAAGAAAGGCAGGACCTGGTTTGAACTGTAATGGTAGACCTCTGGGAACACCAGGTGCCACTGTGGGGCGGCTGTAAAGTGCCAAACTGTCATTGAGTCCTTTGGCAAGACACTTCACTCACATTGCCCAGAATGAGTCTGTGTGTGTGTGTGTGTGTGTGTGTGTGTGTGTGTGTGTGTGGGTGGGGGTGTGTGTGTGTATGGTTGGTGGTGGTCAGAGGGGCTGATTACACATACTATTTTCCTCGCTTCTGTCAGTGTGCCCCAGGGCAGCTGTGGCTACAGTAGTAGTTTATCACCACCGTGTATGGAGTGAGAGAATAATGATATGCGAAGTGCCTTTGAGTGTCCAAAAAAGCGATATAGAAAACCGATGCATTTTGATTAATTTGTCAACATAAACATGGCCTGATCCATGCCTGCTCTACACTGTGCTCTGCTGCAGATCACTATAATTGTCTCATTAAAGCTACACTGACACCTTTATACCAATTACAGCATTCCTACGAGGTGCACGACAGCTTTGATGGATCTACTATGACTATCGCTCATGTGAGGACAGGGCTTGTGTATCCTCTGCTTGTCCTCGGTAAATGTGAATGAGAGGTGGGCTGCAGGACCAGTTTGTGCTGTTGGATGTTGAATGTAGGCAGAGAAAGCCTCCCACATGCCCAGTGCCTGTGCCGCTGAGTCATGCCGAGCTGACAGAGTGGATGTGGCTGCCACCGGCTCTCACTCTCAAAGCAGAGAAGTTCCACGGCCCAAGTCTAAGCCCTGAGTATTTGAGTAAGGCCAGAACCGGGAAAAGTGGACTTTCAAGTTCATGCAATCGTCCAGTCTGATGTAACACAGATCTGATGTGTGGTTTATCACTTGCTTCATGTTGTGTTCTCGGCTAAGCCTGGATAGAGCCGTGTATGAATGTGTGATACAGTCATGAAGGTGGGGCCAGGTTACACATTTAGTGACCGATTTGGGGAGAGGTGAGGCTTTAGGACAGGGTTTGTTTTCCCTAAAAAACAACTGTTACAGCCCGGCTCTGTGGCTGCAACAAAGAATAAGGGGGAACGACACTAGGACCAGTTTTAAAGCCATGTTTGGCATTTTATTGATAAAGAATAATAATAGTATATTTCTGCGATCAGGGTAAGTGTAATGTGAGTGGCTGCGTGCAATGCAAGTATCGTCAGCAGGATAACCTTATGTGTAGATAGGAGTGTTGGATGAGAATGTGTTACTGTTGGCATGTTCTGTAAGTGAGAGGTGGGCTGAGGTGCGTGTGGTGCGAATGATAGTCAGTAGTGATGTGCTGAGCGGACCGAGTCTTCGAAGCGTGGACCGAGTAATCTGGGGGCGTTTCTTGTGAAGTGTGGGTCGAGGCGTGTATTGGTCACGTGTGTGGTGACGTTCGAAGCCTCGCGTAGCGGCCGGACCACGTGACGGTTCATATAGTGCTTCATATAGTTCGGAGAGTGCATTGCTTTGACAGGTGCTTTGTGATCCGCGGCTGTACCATAGACTGTATTGGCTGTCCCCGTCTGCCTCTGTGTGCGTACGTGTGTGTGCGTGATGTGGAGCAGTCCTGTACTAAGTATAGAGAAACTACTTCATATGAAATACAATTAAAAACTTTTCACTTTAGTAAAACCTCATATATCAGGGCTTCAAGTTATTAGTAATAATACGCTGGATAATACATTTCACAACAGCTGTGTGGCGCAGTCGGTCTATGACGGACTCCGAAGCAGAAGATTTAGCGTTCGAATCCTGGTCTACCCATAATAAATTTTGTGTTGCAAAGTAAATGTATTTATTTATTGGGAATAAATGGTTTGTTGTGTTTAATTAATCCACCTCTTGGTAGTTTTTCCTCCATTAATCACTTTCTGTAGAACTGTATTACTTTGGATGTGTTTGTTGTATCAACACAATTGACTGAAAGACTCAAATAGTTCATAGTTCATGAAGCATCTTTTCAAACACAACACGTTAGACCATAGATTGTAAATATACATTTTAACATTAGATCTCACCATTCATTGTAAGCACTTAAGAGTGTTATGTATTTCTTTGTCCACATGATGGCGTAGTGGAGCATGATTCACCTCGAGCCTTCGACTCATGGGCCGAGTAATAGGCTGCTATCCCTCAAGGCTTCATGGGGCTTCATATTGCCATCACTAAATTAGTCAGTATGATAACCTTTGTGTAAATGTACGTGTTGAGTGCAAGTGCGTGTAAGTCAAATCATAAGACGAACGAGCGGCGTGGCCTGACACGTCTGTCCCAGGACGTGGCCGGGACCAGAGTGTCAGAGGGCTGGAGGGAGAGAGAGAGCGGGCCATCAGGACACCTGCTGCTTTTGAGCGCACCGCCAGCCAATCAGGGCAGAGCTGAAAGAAAGTCAGGTTAGAAGGGGAGAAGGCATACGCCCGGGCGCGTAACAACAACTAATCTGTAACTGTTTTATAACAATAATGATAATCAATTTTATTTCTTAGGTTCCTTTCTTGACAATCAAGGTTGCCTTACATACTTATAGAGTTTAAAGGTACCTTTTAAAAACATACAATTAATTAAAATAGTTACAGTTTGTTATGGCGTAATAGGCTTTTCAAGACTTATGAATTTTGAGACTGTATTTAAAGTGTGTGAGATCATTGTATAGATCACTAACTGGAAAAAGATGAATTAGTTGAGTATCTTATAATATCTTCATTTGAGTAAATTTTTAATTCTGTAAAACAACATTTGCTGATGGGACAAGCACAAATGTCTTAGAGACATGAAAATTGAAAAACTATTTCCCTGCGCTTGAAATATTACTAAACTGCTCATCCCATGGTCGAATCTTGTTTTTAGATTACATTCTGAACAATTCAGGCTTGTTTTTATTCATCTAAATTTAATATAAACCTTCATAACTTAATATTTTATGTATTTTTTTTCAGTGTAAACAAGAATAATATATTGTGTTTTCCCTTTGAAAGTACAGTATATTAGAAACAGAACTTTGGGCATCTATCCACTGTCAAATTATTATAAAACATTGCAAACGTGTGAGGCAGAGCCATGTAAGTCACTATTTGATTCTTTGGTTGTAGAAGGTTGGTGTTCACTGTGAGCAAGCTGTAAATGTGAATTGTAAATGTGCTCTTTATTGTCCCCGTGGGGAAATTTGTCCTCTGCATTTGACCCACCCTGATGCCATTAAGGCTTACAGCAGGAGGAGTAACGGAAGGCAAACATGTTGATACAGGTCCGTAGACTTGCTTGTTATAAGTGTTTGTGATATTGACTTTGATAATGTTCAATACCTACCTCTACTTCCAGTTTGAAAATCAGGTTACCCAGCTTTATTGCTACACTACACTATTCCAGGCAAAGCAATTACGCAGAGACAAGCAGGTGCCAGATGCCAGAGCAGAAACCTTACATAATGTGTCCTAGTCTTTAGGTCAGATAAGTCCTGATACACACATTTTTCTCAAAGGATTTTTGTAGTCATAACACACTGATCACGGCTGTCAATCAACACCACAATGATGTCACCACGAGATGCAGAAAAGTTAACTTCTTGACATGACATTTTAAATATGATGCTGTCAATCACAACTGGCTTTGAAATGTGTGGGTTTTAATTTAGGACTGAATCATTTCCCTCACTTTAATAATGTGTGTGTGTGTGTGTGTCTGTGTCTGTGTCTGTGTCTGTGCGTGTGCGTGTGCGTGTGCTTGTGTGTCTGTGCGTGTGCGTGTGCTTGTGTGTCTGTGTCTGTGCGTGTGCGTGTGCGTGTGCTTGTGCGTGTGTCTGTGCGTGTGCGTGTGCGTGTGCGTGTGTGTGTGTGTGTGTGTGTGTGTGTGTGTGTGTGTGTGTGTGTGTGTGTGTGTGTGTGTGTGTATAGCGATGCCTCAGAATGTCTCTTAGAAGAAAATGTGAAAAAATATAATAAAATTAATTGTTCCAAGATGAAAGACATTTGGAGAAATCGTTACTTATTCAAAACAGCCATTGTTTTACAATCGTCTTAAATAAATGCAAGCTGATGCAAATAGGTCTTGGATAAATAGTAAATGTGTGCATTGTAGCCTGAATAATGAGAAGTGTACGTGAGTCTGTAAGGCAGATAAGAAGCATTCTCATTATCTTACTGATCTGTTTTGAACCATGTACATCTACATCTATGGTGCCTCGATATGCCCCCCCCCCCCCCCCCCCAACGGTGGGGGAAGGGGGTCCACAATCTAGCCCTGGTTACTATTCAGCTTCATTTAGATCTTGCTTAGTTCTTATATAGTGCTAATTGAATTAGTAAGTTGGCCAACTCAACATCTCATGACTTTACTATCATTTGAAAGGCCACAAGATCAATCGTGCTTAGGGTCACAGTAACAATCTTGCTTCGCCCATGATCCATTCTGATCCTTAAAAAGAACCCCCTTGAATAAGAAAGGTTCATCTCAAGGGGCTGTCCTTAGGAATAAATAATTAAATCAACACATGTTAAAAAAATAAACTAATACCTAATAAAATACCAGTTTACCAGTAGATTGTCTCCACTTATCGGGTAGATGACCAAAAAGAAATTTGTATTCCTGAGTCCTGGATCTATAGCATCTATAGCCTGCCTATGTGTGGACAGGTTGTAGAGCGGATCCCTCTCTCAATGTAGACCTCCCCGAGGTTTCTCACTTTTTTCCCACTGGGTATTTTGAGTCATTCCTTGCCAATGCAGGAGGGTCTAAGGACAGGGATGATCCAGGACATTTACGGATTTTGAAAAAAACATGTATGTCATCCCACTCCCTATTGACCAATGGCTGTTATGAGGTATTTATTACTGCAGGTCCTGTGTTTGAGCTATTTGATTCTCGGATCTGTTGTTGGCGAATCAACAACTTTATAAAGTCTCCCAAGACTGCTAAACTAAAATAAACTGAATTGAAATTATGATTCAATAAATAATCTACAGGAACAACAGTTATACATACTTTTTTGTTGTAAGATCTATACACACGGGAAATACAATAATAAACCCATTCCCTTGACAATTAGACACAAATTCACAAACCCTTTGATGTAACACGGAAGAAAGCCACCTCTCATAACATTCAGGAGTGGTTTGTGCTGTGAGAGCCTTGATGGTTCTCGGCCCCCTGCTTGGGAAACGCACTCGCAGTGGGAGGAGGAGGAGGAGGAGGAGGAGGAGGAGGAGGAGGAGGAGGAGGAGCGCCCATTCGCTGTTCGTGTGTGTGTGAGGACCGAGAGACACACTGGGGGGGGGACACACACAAGATCACAGTGCGGGGGCTGTCGTCTTTCTCTCTGGCCTTTCTACGTCTTCAAGAACGCTGCAAATATTTCCACACCGCGAAACCACGAGTGAAAAAACGTCTTCCACATTTTTCGTCGCCGTGAAATTCTTGCACATAAATAAATGGATGGAACAGACTGCGCGCCGGAGCCAAAGCAACCCCGTGGGTGTTGATCTGATTTGACTTGGATCCGAGGGCTTTCCCTGTGGATCCTCTTCGTATTCTTGTGTGATTTCATATTTTGCAAAATGGTGTTGTTTGCGTTGTCTTCGGCTCGGAACAAGCCTGGATAACGCGAAGGAGACGCGGCTATCTGCGTGACGCCACCCCGCGAGAGGAGCGCTGCGTCTGGCTGTGGTAAGACGCTCACAGCTGCTCTGGTCTGCAGCTTAAATACACTGGACGAGGGCTTAACACACCGCACAGAGGCACATGCAATGATACACACTCACTAATCTCTCTAATCTCTCTAATTAAACCAAGTATGCTAAAAAAAAAACGCGGATTTGAGCTGAAATTCAGTCGCAAAGTTGGTTAGCCATAGCAACATGTTAGATGCTACATAAGCTAGCCAAGTACAAGCTAACAAAGAAGCTACTAGTTGTTTTACTAGATTTAATTAATGAATTTATTGGATTTTTATTGTGTAATTTGCCTGTTTAAAGAGTGGACAAGTTGCAGTCTAGTCCTAGTTTGTCTGTGTGTGTTTTTATAACTTTTCCTGAAACTTTCAAGGGAGTTGGCTTCAGGCATGTCTCTGCAAACTGCAACTGTTGGACTCAGAGGAGCACAGGGACTGGACTAGACCTGCTGCTGCCCAGAGTCAGAACTAAACCTGGGGAGGCTGTATTTCACATTCATGCTGCTGTACTCTGGAGTAATCTGCCTGAAAATGTCTCTTGAAAAATGTCTCCTGAAAAAGGACTCTTCTCTGACAATGTTTAAATCCAGGTTATAAGGCCTTTATCCCCACTGCTGTCAGACTAAACAACAAGTCACTTTAAGTCACTGTATTAAGACTGAAAAAACCTGCACTACTATTGACACTGTTTCTGATTGGCGCTTTTTACATTTTACATTGACACTTTTTATTTTACATAATATATCCTGCATTTAACATGTTTGCACATTTCCTCTCTTTTTGCACAATATGGAGTGTTTCTGTCCATGCCAAATGTGACATGTAAATTTCTCCTTGTGAGATTAATAAAGCATATCTTATCTTATCTGTACAGACAACTGAGAGATTTTTAAATGTACTGTGATTGTTTTATGATTTTAATGCCTTGTGTGATTGTCTCTAGTTTTGTCCAGCATTGAGTGGCCTTATGTATGTGTATGTATTGTATGTGCAATACAAATAAACTTGCCTTGCCTTAGTTGAGCTGGTGTCCTGTCTGTGCAGAGGTCGAGATTTCTTCAGCTGTGGAGGCGACTGTCCCTGGCCCCTGATGCATCTTGGGGTGTCTGAGTCCATGCGAGAGTGCGAGTACAGCCAGATTAGCACTCGCAGTTCCACACCCATGGAGACCCCCTACAAGAAGAGGACCCCCAAGAAAAGGAAGTGGCAGTTGTTCCCAGGACGGAACAAGTTCTATTGCGATGGCAGGATTATGATGGCCAAACAGACTGGGGTTTTCTACCTCACCCTGGTGCTTATTCTAGCCACCTGTGGACTTTTCTTCACCTTTGAGTAAGTATTGCGCCGAGACGCTGCCCTCACTTCACACCAGTGTTGGGAAATGTGAGCTGTCGTAAATATGGCACATGGGTCAGATATTATGTCACAGATCAGTGTGGCGATGATAGAGAGATCTCTGGGCACTCACTGGAGATATTTGCATTTCAACACGTATGTATGCATTATCTAACTTAACATTGTGCTTTCTTATATTCCGTATGTAACATGTCTAATGAACAGTGTTTGTTTGAACAGTGAGTGTTTTTGTCTTTTACCCATCTTTTACGACAATGAAAAATAGAGGGAATTTTTATTACTTTGGGTGAGGGAACTGGTTGTGGCGAGAACTGCTTTTCTCCACTTTTTTGCCAGATCATACCTATTGTCAAAGCAAATGCAAAAACATTATCAAGTCAAGAAAAGCACTCGACCCCCTCCAAAGGGCGCGGCTCCCTTCTCTAAAAAATAAATCCACACCTTTTAAAAAATGTACTAATTTGGTTCTTCCCAACATTTCATAATAATTTCACCTTTTAACAAACAAACCGTGGCGAACACATTACCCCCTGTTATAGGTACTGGACCCTCTCCCTGTCTTGTTGTGTTGTTGTGCCATAGTACTATAAGATCGTATTCTGCAGCTAAAGCTCTTCTCACTGCCGGCAAGTGTATTAACTGGCTTGTAGAACACCCTCAGTCTTTCCACATTTAACACTGTCTCCTGCGCGGTTATGTAGCACATCGATCTGATATCAGCTTCCACTTCTCTGCCCTCTGCTATTATGTTGCATTTGTATCTGAAGTTGTTCCTGACTTCTTGCCCTGTCACAATCCCTTGTGGCTGGTGGTGTAGATTACTCTGTGTATCTGTGTTAATCACATATTGTTATCCCCGGAGGAGTCTTTCTCTGCGGACCAGAAAATAGCTCTTTCTTTGGGTCTGCATCCTGCTCTATGTGCAGTGCAGCGTGTAGACGGAGACATTGACCTGTTAACATGGGACACGCTCTATCTCCTCATTAGGGCTCAGTAATCACCCTGGCATTGATGGTCTCTGAAGCACATCTCTGGTGATAAGAAAATGCACCATCATGCAACGTGAGGCTCAATTAGAGAAGCATTATCAGGGTAAAGTGCTCCAGAGCAAGAGCTGGCATAACACGCAAAATATCATGACATCATCACATCTCATATCATCATAAGGGATTAATTAAATGTTGGTGACTGTGTGCCAGCTCGTCTGTAGATTAATTGAGTGTTTGTATATAAAAGTCAAACGTTCCTTCCACGCAAATGATTATTTTCTACAGTTTGAGCATATAACTGTTTTACCTCAGTCACGCTATGACCAGAGCCCTGTTTGCTCTCAGTGCATACTTTGTTGTCCACAAGTGCATTGTTTAGATAGCAGTGTGCCGCAATCAATAGGGTTTAAAGTTTAGAAATGATATGTCGCTAATGTTTGTGGCGCCACCTCCATGTGAAAGCCATATCCTGTCAGACTTCTGATGTTAGGCAGGGCAGGGCCTGGTAAGTGCTGCGATGGGAGACCTCTGGGAACACCAGCTGCCACAGGTTGTAAAGTGCCAAACTGTTGTTGTGTCGTTAGGCAAGACACTTTACCCACATTGCCTAGGAGGAGTCTGGGGTGTGTGTGAACGGTTGGTGATGCCTGGAGGTTGCTTGCTTTGAGTCTGTGGCTACAATATTAGTTATTAAGTGTCTGAGTGCATAGAAAGTGCTATATAAAACAGATATATCGTTTGTTAGACCATTTGGAACGGTTGTTTTTGCTCCAAATTATTAAGTTCATTTGAGATCTCAATATTGATTTTTATTCTTTTAGCACACCTCCATATTCAGTGTTTTGTTTTTTTTGTACTTTTGAGGCATGAAAAAACACAATAATTGCACATTTTTACAATATTGATATTGTAGCCTTGGTGTTGATCAATTAAAATGTTTATTTTAAAAACCTGTACAAACACAATTTCACTGTACAAAATAACAGACAGTAAGTAAGTAATCTTTATTTATACAGCGCCTTTAACAGACCAGAGTCACAATGCGCTTTACAATTGTTGTGGGAATTTCTTACTCCACACAGAGAAGGGAGTGAGGTCGCAAGTACAGGAGGTGCATGCCACAGATATGTTGATATTGATTGGCTGAAGCAGACCCCTTTATACTTCCACCTTTTTCATTCATCACATGATAATTTTAAACAAAACATTCACAGACACACAGGTCCAAACGCTCTCTGAACCTACACCAGACAACCACTATAACATGATCCAAAGCTGCATTCACTTCTGCTGGTCATGTCCCATTTTAATGAACTTTACTCAGGGAAATGGGTAAGCTTTTGACCCGCTGTTAAAACTCTTATAACCTGGACACCCACTGGGACGACCCCAGATGCTTCCTGGTGATACAGCCCTACTTCCTGTGCCCAGTTTGAGTGGTGCCTCCTTTCTGCATGTGTCTCTTTGTTTGTTGTGACAACAGCGGCCTAGAACAGGAAAAGCATGTGTCCCTTCTCGATCTGACGTTCTGACTCCTCCTGACCGCCCCTCCTCCCCCATACTCCTCCTGCCCCCGCCTGTCAGCTGAAGGGAGACATTTATCGGATGGGGCAATCGTCAGCAGACCTCCACACTGGCCTCTGTTGCCATTAAGTGTAATGCATTTCGATTAGATGTGTTTTTCCGAAGCGTCTTCATTGGTTGTCAGCAAAGTAGAAAAACAGCCTCCTCTTCTAGTTTGTAAATTGGCCATGTATCCTGACACTGTGCTTTAAATCACATGGCCTGTATCTGACTGCTGATGCCACTTATTGACAGACTAAAAGCATTGTGAGAGCGTAGAAAAGGCACAGAAAACGCTTTGTGATCTATATTTATCCTTTCTTGTTGATTTCACAGTTGCTCGCCCAAGCACAACAAATCCTCTTTGTGACCTGCAGTCTCCCTCTTGTTTATTATTCTACCTCCAGTCATCCTCAAGATCCCCGTGTGCACTGTTGCCCCACATGTTGCTTACTCTCCCGGCGCCGTCTCCTTGTTAAAGCCGACTACTGGTGTTGATTTGGATGCCTTTCCTTTTAGGTGGTATTGATCTACGAAGCCACAGGTGTTTCTGAGTAGCACTTGAGTGGCATTAGGGGGAACTGTTTTTATAGACTGAAAATCCATCAATATTTTGCGCACTGTCATCTTTTTGCCACACCAGAAGATAAGCAAAAAACATTTTTTTTCTTGCTGAGGAAGTTTGGTCAGAACTGGGATGCTCTGGAACATTTATCCAGCAGTAGGGATGCACCTATACAATAATGGAGTTGGATATCTGCCTATAGTGGAGACATTGTTGGATATGCAGAGTATTTTTATGTAGCGAATTGGTTTAACTGGCGCAGAATGTTGAGTTGAGTGATAGACGGGGGTTGGAAGTTTATAAGGATATACCCAACCTGTTATTTTGTTATTTGCTCAGTGAATTTATGTACATTCTCTAAAATAAAAATTTCTGATCATTTACAGTATTCACTTTTACTCACTGGCAAGTTTAAAGCACAGTTGGACAGATTCTTAATGTGTTAGGTAAGATTTCAGGGAAGGAAAATTATCTTAAGTCCAGGTATTGGTCGATTTAATATAGCAAGAAGGTCCTGAGTTCAATTCCACCTCAAAGCCTTTCGGTGTGGAGTTTGCATGTTTTCCCAGTGCTTCTGTAGGTTTCCTCCAGGTGCTCCTGTTTCCCTACCTTACTAAATGTACAATTGGTCTGGCATGCGCCTCCTGTATGGTGACCCTGCTTCCATGTGTGGAACATACTAGTGCAAGAATATTGAAGTAATAAGTCATTTGTCTGTTGTCTCAATTCCGAGCTTTCCTAGAAATGTTGTTGGAATCCAGCCACAACATTTCAAGTCATGCTGAGAACTAACAGACAAACCAAGTTTAAAACATTAACTCCTTGGATTAAACTAAATGTCCTGGAGGAAACTCTTGCCAGCGAGACAAAAATTCTTTACCAAAATATGCAAAAATCAGTCAACATGTCTCTCTTCTAAAAGGGATGGAAGTTTTCCTGTTTGATTGGTGAAATCCACTAAAAATATGTACAATAGGTCTGGCACGCGCCTCCTGTACTGGCGACTCCGCTTCCATCTCTGTGTGGAGTGAGAGGACAAGTGCTCAAAAATAATAACAATTGTAAACCGCTTTGTGACTCTGGTCTGTGAAAGGCGGTATATAAATTAAGATTACTTACTTACTTACTTGGTAGGGGTAATAGTTTCATTCTTGTGCGCCTTACCTTTTCCGTCGTTTCCTGAGAGGCATTCTGTTTCCCGTTTCTTCATATATCAACAAGGACATAGTTAATAAGTTGTGTATATGTTTTTGCTCTCTGTGATGGTGTCCCCCTCGGCTGATGATGAAGTGGCGGTTGAGTTGTGTTGCCTGGAGGCTGCGAAAGACAAACTGAAAGCATTTGTTGAGGTGCGGCTGTTTGAAAGAGCGTTTGTGAACGAATACGTGACAAAGGGGGCTCTTTCAGGAACAACATGGATACTGAGAAGACTTCACAGAGGAATGTACTTATTTTTGTACCGCTTTTGGGAAATCATGGCAGCCTGTATCAGCTTCTCCTACTCCACAATGACTAACTGGATTAATGTATTCCCTAGGGCTTTACCATTTTGTTGATAATTGATTTGTTTGCCAATTATCTATTCCTTTTAGTGGTTGGTGTATGGGATTACTCACTATTATTTGACCAAAACAAACTGATTTACTGAATTACTTTGCAAACACATTTCCATTTAACTCTGCAGTAAAGTATAGTAATCTAGTATGAGTGAGTTGTAAAATGTAAGGGCTAAACTCAGAAAATCACTATCGTTCAAAAGATCATCTATTCCTGTCTTAAAATTTGAATCCAGTTCATGATATAGACTCATTGACACATGCCATGACTTTCACAATGGTGAATGCAAAATTCGACACAAA